TATATATATATTATATATATATATATATATATATATATATAATATATATATATACATATCTGATTAATACAAATATTATAAATTAATATGTAAAAAAAAAACTATAATAAAAATTACATTTTTAAAATTCATAATAATGTATTCATATAAATATGATTAATGTATAAATAATATTATAAAAAATGTTATTATACACACACACACATATATATATATATATATATATATATATATATGGGGGGGTTAACAGAAAAGACTTTTAATTTTTCTAAAGAAATGTGAATGGTGTTTTCACATGCAAATGAAGCCAGGGTGTTGCTACGCAATTGCCAAGATCTACCGAGTGTTTTCAGCGTTGTTATGTGGTTGCTAGGGCGTTCTAGATGGTTGATTATTGACCCAAATCAGGGTGCTTGATAAAGACTGAACAGAGCAGATTGTATGGCACAAACAAATGACTGTACATGTACATGCACTAAGTCACACATGATGACACTGAAAACAACTTCTTTTTATAAACAGTAATGTCAGTGCATGCTGGGTAACCTTTGATTTGAAACAGAATAGACACTCACAGTCAGGAAAGTGTGAAGATTCGTGACTCTGGTCGGATGCCATCTGAGCCTGCTTGCCAAAGACCTGGGCATCAAAACTGGCGTAGTCGAAATGGCCTTTAGTGTACTTGTCCATGTCTTTGGCCATGCTGGCCTGCAACGCTGCCATAGGATGTGCAAATCTGTACGTGAAGTCAAATTTCTTCATGTTTCCTAAAGGTCTAAAGAGAGAAAAAGAAAACACTGGGACTTCAGAATTACACGAATGTTTTGAAAACATGTTTGTGTTGCTGCTTATTCTTTATCATAAGAAATCACACACTTTAATAAATCATTCCCCAACAAATTAGATTTAATTATATCATTAAAAGCTCCGAAAGAATGAACAGGTGAGATGCCTATTATTATCTTTCAGAAAGAATACTTGAGAACTTATTTTCAGCTTGCTTGATTGTAAAGGAATATATAAAGTATAAGAGCTGCTCCTGGATGAAGGTTTCTTACCTCGTCATCCTCTCTGCCGTCTGTCTGCAATTTGTGGGATCCTCCTGCGGTTTGGAGATCTTCTCTGCAGCAGCTATCGGGCAGCCTGAGAGACTGTGTGAAAACAGACATCAGAAGTTAGTCTCTTCTGGGTTGTTAACTTTATTTGAATTGAATTCGGGTGCACTGACGTAATTGTACAATTAAAAAGAATCCAATAGCTTCTATGCAATAAACATCACAGTGTTTTATAGTCTAGTTTAAGTGTCATTGGATTTTTCCTGATTCTTTTTAAGTAAATATCCAGGTTTCATTGCAAGCGCATCTCTTTTTGGGGTAAATGAATGTTTCTGGTGCTTTAAGGTGGTTTAAGTCAGTGGAACCGTGCAAAATAGAGTAACACTGCATTTTCTTTGGGTCAAATTCTGGATGTAGTCAAGTGGTAATGTTATGAAAGTAAAAGTGAAGTGACATGTGGCCAAGTATGGGAAAGAGTGCTCTGCATTTAACCCATCCAAAGTGCACACACACAGCAGTGAACACACACACACACCATGAACACACCCCCGGGGAGCAGTTGGGGGTTCGGTGCCTTGCTCAAGGGCACCTCAGTCGTGGTATTGAAGGTGGGAGAGAGCGCTGTACATTCACTCCCCCCACCTACAATCCCTGCCGGTACAAGACTCGAACCCGCAACCTTTTGGGTTACGAGTCCGACTCTCTAACCATTAGGCCACGACTTATAATTATTATAAATCACTCATTTCATTTCCCCCCCGCGACTAAATATCTATGCAAATCTGCTTACAATGAGCAAGAAGGATTGCAAATAAATTAATAGTGTAATTTGAGTATAACTGAATGCTGAGTAAAACCTTTTGTTACTTGAAATAAAATCAACTTTAACTGAAATAAAATATTTTTTAAAAATTACTATATAGTATAAAAAAAAAAAAAAATCAGCCAGTTCAGCCAAGGTGACATTTCTCATTTTCATTTAGTGCAACTTAATGTACTAAAACTGAACAAATAATAAATAAATAAATAAATACACATATAAATAAATAAAATAATAATAATAAAAACCGTGGAGGCTAATTTCTGGCATGGAATAAAAAAATTATATATATATAAAAAATAAAAAAAAAGTCAGAATTCTGAGATATAAACAAAGAATTCTGATTTTATATAAATATTTTCCCCTCAGAATTGCGAATTGTGAGATAAAATAAATTACCTTTTTTATTGCATTTTTTTATTTCTATGGCAAAAACGGGCTTCCGTTAAAAAAAAACAACTATAAAGACATATAAAAAATAAATAAATAAAAAGACAAAAACACAACAAAATTACCAAAGCTTTAAATAAAAATTAAAAGAGCAAATATAAAAATAAATACTAATTCACACTCACAGTATTAATAAAAACTCTCACTGTATCTTAAAGATACTAAAACATCACTTGTATAATCAAGCTGTTTTCACTGTGCTGACCTTCTATGCGTGCTACGGTTACTGTTGACATGACCTCTTCCTGTACAGCCAGGGGTCGGACACTTGAGGACGTTTTCGTGCATGGCGAGGACTGTAAGAAACAACAGAATAATGTTTATCAAGAGAACAATTGTATAGTAAGAATGGACATTTTATTGAATAAACAGTAATTCAGCATTTAGTGGAATTCAACTTTTCGTGCTAAATAAAGTTTCCCATGCCATTCTTTGCAACTTAAAATGAGGGTCTCGCTTCAAATATGGACATGCAAAAACATCATAACTACAAACGCATTTTGATTACCATTTAAGAGACACACACATATTGTTGAAGTCCTATCCTTAGTAACTTTTTTTAGTCTGTTCATAATTAGTTTGGAGGATGTGCCTGTCTATTTCGGCTGCATCCGCAGGTCCTTTGATTCGCAGAATGCTGCCTCTGGTTTATGAGTACATGCTTTCATATTGGAGGGAAAAAAAGGAATAAAACGTAATTAAATTTTCTGTTCCTTTTGTCACATCACTGTTTAATGGCGAATGTTTGTTGTGCTACTCTCAAATGGAGAAAACAGCAAGTGAAAAGTTGTTTCCAGAATGCATTTTTAATTTGCCTACCGCAGGAAATCAAACCTCACTTGTGTTGATGACTAAAAAGAAAAAAAAAATTATTAGTATTTTTTTTTTTTTACTTTCAGTTTGGTGCAACATTAAGTGGTTTCTACTGGAAGGCTCAAGATAAGAGGTAAATAGATCATTAACATGCAAATTACATATTACATACTTCATATCTGTGATTTTTTTAAATTAGAGGCACTTTTAACTAATTGAAATCTTGAAAAATGACATTTCAAATTATGTTTAGTCTATGTTTATCATATATATTTTTTTATATTTATCACATCTCCTGTAATAAACAATGGTAATTTTTCACTTTTTGGAGGAAAATTTAGCAATTAGCTTTGAACTTACAAAAAGAAAAAGAGACGGATTGCTTTTGAATTAAAATGCTCAAATAGTGACAAGTTTAGTAATAAAAAAAAATGGACCAGTGACCAGTTTGGTAATAAAGATAATTTCATATCATAATGTAAAAAATGTATAAATTAATGACATCATAACCAGATATATACTTCTTTGGGAAAACCTTTTTATTTTTTTTTTACTAATTATTTTCTACAAAATATATGTGTAAAAAATTATAATAATTACTAATTGCATTTATTAATACCAAATAAATATGATGTATTTTAAGTAAGGTGTAATTTTCCTGAATTTTTTACCTTTTTTATAAATTTATTGTTACATTAAAATATAAAGTCTGGCTCAAATTCTGCATAATTTGGAGTAATACTGAAACATTTTTGTTTATGTTAATATTAAAAAATAATATTTTTTTAGCAAATGTAGCACTTCATCACTCTTAAAATTTAGGGAAAAAATTTGAATAAAAATTTAATTTAAACAAAGTTAAAGCTTAAATAATACATCCTTTAAAACTAGAATATATATTTAAAAATGTTCTATAAAAGGGAAGAATCTTGCATTTTCTATCACAGAAAAAAATAACTATTAGATATTTTTGTAGCATACATTTAAACTGATACACTTCATGTTATGTCTCGATGCAGAAATGTTCTGAACATAATAGAGCCTGGTTAGTTAAGCAATCGCCATATAATCTTTTGTCCCTCAGTATCTGTACAACTAAACCTGGATCATTAGTATGGCATGAATATTTATGGGCTGAAAATGATCACAGTGTTGTAATCACTAATTGTATTTGTTCTGTTTGTATTGTACTGCTGTGAAGGGAGGAAATGTGTCTAATGTCCTCAGGAAGTGATGCGTAACACGAGAACAGACTCACTCTCTGGGGGCACTCTGACTTTGTGGGGACATCCTGATAGACTCCGGTGATGAGGGTAGAGGCCTGTCACATGACCCGTCCCATCACAGCCCGGGGTCGGACATTTGATGTCTTTCTTTTCTGTCCGAGGGGAATCTATAACACACACACACACACACACACACACACACACAAACAGTAAAAAACAGTGCTCTTGAAGAACATATAGTTACAGTTAATCCCATCCAGTCTGGTTTCTCTATGTTAGCTGAAGTGCATCCCGTGAAAGCATGTTGGGTGTGTATGTATTCATCCGTGACATTAGTTAAGGCTGCAGTCTTAACTCAGGGCACTGGTTTCTTAGCGCTGATCCATAGAGAGATTATCTTCAGAGATTACCCATTAAACAGCAGTCATCGCAAGAATCAAAGTGCTTAAAACTCACATCAGAGATACTTTACTAGGATTTATGACTTAATTTATGCTCATGGTAAAATATCTGGCTGATACCGATAAAAATCCAGCGTTTCGTGTTACAGAGATGTCATCAGAAGATTTTCTTCTTGTACTTGTAATCCCCCCCCCCCATAAAACATGCTGGTTATTTACCATAAAATATTTTGTTGGCAAAATGTTTTTAGCACTTAAGAGGATTTTATTTATCTATCCCTCTGGGCTGGAATCTCTCTATGTCTTTTTCTTTGTATGTGTTGATACTGCAACATTCCAGTTTTATTGCGAAAATGCATTTAATATAAAACACACCACCAGCACATAAATCTAAAGAAGTTTTTACAGACCAAATACAACAAGAAATGCTACCGCTTTACAATGAGATCCCATTTGTTAATGCATTAACTAACAATGAGCTACACATTTGTTGCAGTGTTTATTACACTTTGTTAATGTTAATTCATAAAAAATACTGTTCATTGTTAGTTTATGGTAGCATTACTAATGTAGTTAGCTAATGTTAACAAATGGAACCTTATAGTAAAGTGTTGTCAAAGAAATTAAGGGGTTTCAATACGACAGAGTAGTTTCTTTGGAGTGAATGAATATGAATTTACGATTAGCATTAATAGTGTAAATTACATTACTTAACAAGCAACAAGAAATTACATATTTTTCCCGCATATTTGAGGTTCTTAGGGAATTAGTGAAACACTGCATCGCCAATGTGGACGAAATATCGCGCAATATACCAAAAGACTGCTACTACTAAACATGCAGCGCGACTAGTTCAGTCCTACCACTGAATTAATCTTAGCCAGTTCTTTTTAGCGAATCCAAAACATATACAGTGCAACTAGTGACATTTGACTGCTGAATGAGCCAGTTCTTTTTAGCGAATAAGAAACATACCGCGCAACCAGTAACATCCGACTGAATCACTCTAATGTCGAGTGTATACTTCACTTTTTACATGTACGCAAGGGATACGTACTGTTACTACTGTACGCACACTACGCAATTTATGTAACAACACACACTTTGTACGCGCAGGTCACACTTGCACATTGAATTTGTTTTGTAGTAATCAGTTGTTCTACAAGGTGGAAACACTGGCCAAGGCCGTTGTTTCACAGTAGAAAGAGACTGCAACAACAATAGATGGCTGCATTTACAAGCCAAGCGAGAGGGTAGAGATAGCCCAGCTTTTGGTTTAAAAGAGTTCATAAATATTTGTTATTAGTCATAATTTATGGAGAAAATAGAGCAGACAACTGGACATGAATGAAGCTTTCAAGAGCGCATGTGTTGACTGCTTGTGTCAAATGGAGTACACTCTGAAAGGCTATGCGTTCGAGTGTACGCTAGCATATACGTACAAAAAGTAAGTATACTTTGGGCTTAATGAGCCATTTACAAGTGAATCAGAAACACGTACAGAGCAACAAGTCTGACCGCTGAATAAATAACTCTTGAGTCGGTTCTTTTTAACGAATCAGAAACATACAGCCCGACCAGTGTAGTTCAATTCCAGAATGAATGACTTTAATGAGCCGGTTCTTTTTAGTGAATCAAACACAAACAGCGCGCCCAGCATAGTCCAACTCCTGTCCTTTTAGTGAATCAAATGCATACAGTACAACCACTGTAGTGTGATTCGCAAACAAACGACTCTAGTTCATTTCAATGAATCAAACACTTACTGTGCGACCAGCGTTGGCCGACTTCTGATCAAATGAGTCTGTTCATTTTAGTGAAACAAAAGCATGCAGTGCAACCACTGTAGTGCGTTTCGCAAACAAACAACTCTAGTTCTTTTTAGTGAATCAAACAAATAGAACTGTGAGTTACTGATTGGTTGATCATATGAAAACATGTATTTAAAAATACCTAAATGAAGTTAATGAATGAAATACATTACCAAATTTTCTTTCTTTGTGCAGCATTGTTGGACTATTTTTGGATTGCCTTCATTAGATTTTAGACTTTATTTATGCCTCTTTAAAGTCTAATTAGAAGTCTATTCAAACACATCTTTTGCAAGAATTGTTTTAAAAGTATTTATTATTGGAATCATTCCATCATTTGCAAATTGTATTTCTTTATTCCAAATATTAATTCCCTTAGTACTAAAATAATTGTAAATGAAACCATTGAGGAACTAGAATTTTTTGCAGAATTCAAACTATTAAAAATCAGTGAAAATGTGAGGAAGCTCTGGTGAATCTCACCTTTGCTGCTGTGGTACATGGCTCGAGCGTCTATCTCCAGCATCCTCTGCTGTCTCCGTTCGTGGTTCATCTGCTCCAGGAAGAAGCGGTCCATGTCTTTGTAGGCACTGTGGAGGACCTGTCTATGTTCAGACTGCAGCACCATGGCCTGCTCTAGAAGACTGAGGTTCAGTCGGGCCCTGTCCAGCTCCAGACGTCTGGCCACCAGACCTGGACCCCAAACACCTCCTCGCTCCTCCATCCTGGGCGTCTGGAGCTCCTCCTCACTGTCGCTGAACTCTCTTGCAGAGCCATACTCCTCCATAAAGGTCCCTGCACTGTTTCTGTTCATGTAAGCAGAAAGAGCGTCTTCGTGCAGCTGCTGTCCAATCCGGAGTCTCTTCATAAGAGCATCGTCTGCAGGTGGACTGGGGCTGTGATGGATCCCGTTGACCTTCGTTAGGGATGGAGGAGCGCTCCATTCTTCTTCATCTGCCTCTGTGTCTGGAGACAGGTGATAACTGGCTCTGATCTCTTCTTGGTTTTTGTCTTCAAAGTCCTGGTTGTGTTCCTCCTCCTCCTCTTGCTCATTCTGGTGTTCGGATATCTGAGCCGCCAGGTCTGGCGAACCTTCACTCGTTCGTTCTGACCATGACAACAAGTGGTGAGACTTTGCGTTGTGATAGATAGCGTCTTCCAGAACATCACCACCATTGAGGTCCTCATCTGAGACACAGAAGAACGGACAGAGCTTAAATTGATGGATCATCTGCAAGAGCTCATTACATGATTGTGTGTTTGGAGGGAAAATACTAACAGATGGTTTCCCAAGCCTTCAGAATCACAAGTTGTGACAAACATGACAACTTGAGGGAAGTGAAGGGAAACAATAAATATTAAAAACTCTAAAAAAGTAAATCATTCATCACATTTCAAATGGTCAAATGAAAAACACATACAATTAATACAATTATAAAAAAATTATATAAATGGGAAAATGAAAAATGAAAAATGATGTCAAATAAACATAAAAAAATGTGAAGGGAAGTACAAAATATGACAAACCTCAATAAATAAGTAGATAGAAAAAGCATTTCAAATGTTACTCTTTGGTCAAATGAAAAACAAATACAATTAATACAATTATTAAATTTATTTAAAAAAAATATAAATGGGAAAATAAAAAAATGAAAGATATTGTCAAGAAAACACTATGACTTAAAAAATGTAAAGAGAAGCACAAAATATGACAAACCTTAATAAATATGTAGATGGATAGATGGATACATGGATAGATAGATGGATAGATGGATGGATGGATGGATGGATGGATGGACGGATAGATAGATAGACAAAAAAAGGAGAATAAAGCTTGACAAGAAAAAGCATTTCAAATGTGAGTCTTTGGTTAAATGAAAAACAAATAAAATTAATAAAATAATTTAATTTTAAAATGATCAAAATGAGAAAATAAGAGATAAAACATTAAAAAAACATCAAGAGCGTTTTACAAGTATCCCAAGTGCATAAAAATATTTTTGTTTAAAACGCCACCTAGTTTCCATCCAAAGTTCAGATTACTAACTGAAATCTATACATAACTTGACCTTAAAAAAATAAAAAAAAATAATATATATAAAATGTATAAATAAATAAATAAATAAATAAACATTTCCCCTTCTAATTTAATCTGCCATCTGTTCAATTTACGTAACAGCATTTTTTTTTTTATGTACTGAAAAAAAAAATTCCACATCCACAATGGATATAAGACTACATGATATAAAGCTGTAAACGCTAATCAGAAAGAAGCACGATTTGCTATACTACTGTACTACTTTTGATAAATCCATAAAGCTTATTTGACTGGGGTTTATAGTGTGAATAATTCCTTTTTTGACAAATCTCAGACCTTTTATCCTTTAAAATCACCTTTAAACGACTCACTGGAATCGCAAAAGACCCGATTATATTAAGTAATCGAGTCAATGATTAACAAAAGAAACTATCAGCTGGATTGATTTACAATCCACTACTGATCTCTCTGAAACTTACCCGCCGGGGTAAAGCTCTTTGGGCACCAGGGTTTAAAGTTCAAAATACAGCGTAAGCACGAGATACAGCTATCCTCTTAGAGAGCCTTATGCCACCCTCCGAACCATATGCAACCACTGAGTTGATTAGATATTAGAGCATTTTGGCTGCCGCCACATATGGTTTCAGGGGCTTCTAATGGGATCATACTGCCTTAACAAACAGTTGCTAGTCTTAAAGAGCATATAAAGTAGTCCTGCTTTTAATCCCCCCAAAAACATCCCTAAATGGGGGATAGAGAGCTCAGTGGCATTTAGAATCTCACCCGTCTCTTGCCAAAAATGGAAACCAGGCTTTGAGGGGTTAGAGTGTGCTTGCCGATGCGTTCATACCATGCCAAACTCCGGCATAATGTCACAGAGGTCTACTTTGGCGCTGTACGAATGCGAAGGCATAATGCTAGCGCACAACCTAAATTTTGATTCTGTTTGTGCAGATAATTATAGTTTTTATGCATGCTGCTTGAGGAAAGGGTGGATAATCTCGTCTGTTTTTATTTTTGGAATTGCATCCAATTGTATGCGTGTCGAATGTTACAGCACTGATTCTTGAGAGATTAAACGTGTCCCACACTTTTAAGTCAACATTGATATTAATCAGAACGGATCACTAGAATGTTCTTTACACAAATAAGCCATTTCATCTTAGTTATATTTTCACTCACCAAGCCATTCTCAGTAAAAAATAACTGACATGTAAATATGTATCTTTAAAAATTATATTAATTAAAAAATACACATACACTGCAAAAAATAGTTTTCTGACTCAGATATTTCAGTACAAATATTTTAACATTCATTAATCAAGATACATTTACTTGAGAAGTAAAATCAGGTTAGTCTTCATCCTGAATGTTTTATTTTTCTATATTTCTATTATAGGAACTCCAGAAAAACAAAACGACTACAAAACATATGGGACTAAATGTGAACATTTTGTCAACAACATCAGATTTTCCATGAGATGCCGCTGACATTATAAAAGATGGAGCTGAAACCATCCTGTAGTCTCAATTTACTCTTAATCATAGTTGAATGCTCCATTTATTATAAATATTCAAATTGACAGTACATATTATGTTTGTATCTGATGGTGTTGACCCATACAGAGCGATAGGAAAGGGAAAACATTTTTTTTTTGTTAAAAAAAAATAAAAATTCGGAAGTAGTAGGAGGTTGCACCAAAACATAAACAAATTTCACTTTGATCATTTTCATTTCTGATCTCAAGAATCAGTAGCCCACCAATAATGCAAAAACAAGCAGGAACATGAAGCATCTGGACACCCAAACCCAATAGATTCCACAATGAATGCACTTAAAAGCGTTCGATTTTCCTGATTTTCTCGCTTTTGTCAGCAGTTTGAGGTGTGAAAACCCAAAGCGGTCCAGCGCAGATGAAAAGTTCGCCAGTTATGCTAAGACACAATTAACAGAGCAGATGATTAGGAGTTCTCTGCCATCCAGATGGAGATACAGCCCTGACCAAAAAAAAAAAAATACAGAACAGTGAAAAAAAAAAAAAAAAAAGACTGGAGCGAACAAGGGCGAAAAATGCTTGGATGCAGAGAGTGGTTTGTATTTTGGAACAGGTGAATGGTTTATACTCCAGAATAACCATTACCATTGTGTGTATGGAGACCAGAAGCTTGGCTGGAGTCACACACACACACACACAACAGCACCAAATGGAAGCCTTACACCCCTTTAATTTCTCCCCTGCCTTTCCTTTTCCCTTTTTTTCCTCATGAAATTCACATACCCCTCTCGTCCCCCTACAGATCCATTAATTCCGCTACGGTCCCAGTCGCCATCCACTCCCAGTCACACCCCGCGCATTATGTCTTTGAATTGTTTTCTTTTCCACCAGCACTTCTTCAGTAGTGCACTTTGGCAAAACGCAAAGCAAACATGTTGCAAGACAGCAGGGAAATATGACAAATGAGATTTTTTTTCTACTGCAACTTCAGAAAATAATACTACAAATTCGAAGGAGGAGGAGGGGGGGAAAAAAGGTTATGATTATTGTGGGTAATATGAAATCAGAGAAACAAATAAATTCCATTTCCAATGATGCTGTTCAATTTATTGAGCTATTTTGTTGTCCATTTAACAACCCACATGTGTCCAATAATGAGCCGCACACATTATGCCTAATTATGTATATTTGGGCTGCGTTCGATGGTCTAACAAAAGCTTTCGAAAGGGACAATTACGTTTGTTGCTTGGTTACATCGTTAAAAATATACCAAATAAGTGCAGATTATAGGGGTGTGGAGGTACAAATGTAAAGCATGGGTATTGTTGCCAACATGCTCATAATTTGATTCATTAGGAGATGGCAGCATTTTGTTTCTAGAAAGGAGACTGCTTTAAAACGTAATATCGACTTTAACGTTTCCGTGCCTTCGTTGCCAAAAATGTTTTGTTGTTGGAGTGTATGATCACTCTCTTTTGTCAACGAGGCGCAATATAATTTGGTGCATTCTATTCTCAGTTACCCTATTTGCATAATTATGCAAGCAACCACACTTGCTTATAAAAAAGCACTTTTCCAGGCTGCATAATCATCCCGGCGGCAGCTACTTTAACGCCACCGCCAGTTTTTAATCCGGGTTTCAAAGAAGTCGAGCGCAGGAAATCGCCTTAATCTGGACACCGGATGCATTAAAAACAACGAACGGGAATCGACAGTCGTGAACTTCCCCGGGATGGACGAAGAGACGGATGCGGGGAGGGAGGGGGAGAGGAGGAGGAGGAGGAGGAGGGAAACAAATATATGAATGCAACAGATGGTAGTTTAAAATTCAGCGTCAATTGTTCATCAAAACAGACAAAACAACAGGACATCTGTCTACCTGCTGGAGTGTCAGTGTTCCTGGGCACGTCTTTGTCCTGAGCGCTTGCCAGGTCTTCCTCGCCGTCCCCCTCGCTGGGGCAGGGACTGGGACTGTAGTGGCGGGGCTTCATCAGGAGCGATTTCCTCTTGTTGACTGGCGCCCCGCGGGCCCCTTCTGCGGCCGCCCGCTTTTTACCCGCTCCGAGATGCAAGCTGAAAGCAGAACACAAGGGTCATTAAATGGATGCGTCGTGTCACAAATCAACTGAGTATGTGATTGGTTGAGGTACAAAGATCTGCACCGAAAGGTTTCGATTCTTTCCGAGGTCAAAGCTTTGTTTAGACACTTGGAAGTCTTGAAGGTTTGGCTAATATTGACTCCTACAACTAAAAACGGTTCTTTCAGCAAATCTTGTTATAAGGTTCTTGAGTAGCTATATGATGCTTTAAAGAGTAAAAAATTATGTTGCACATTCATAAAATGTGCAAAAAAATGCATTTACATGAATACAGTTCAAAAAAGTTCAGGATCGGGATAATTTGTATTAATATTTTTATTATTTCTTAAAGTATTTATTTTATGCATTAAACTGATTAAAAGTGACAGTAAAAACTTAAAATGTTACAAAATTCTATTTCAAGTAGGAGCTGTTCTTTTAAACTTTCTATTCATCTAAGAATTCCGGAAAAAAATGTATCACGGTTTTCACAAAAATATTAAGCAGCACAACTGTTTTCAACACTATTAATAATAAAAAAATGTTTTTTGAGCAGCAAATCAGCATATAAAAGTTATTTCTGAAGGATCATGTGACACTGAAGACTGGAGAAATGATGCTGAAAATTCAACTTTGCCATCATATAATAAATTACATTTTAAAATATATCCAACTAGAAAACAGTTATTTTAATTTATAATAATATTTAATAATATTACTGTTTTTACTGTATTTTTTTAAATAAATGAAAATAGACTTTCAGACCCCAATTGAATTGGATTAACAATGGTGTTTCTTAATTCACATTTCTGGTCTTACTGTAAATGATTAGTTGGGACACATTATTCCAAAGACAAAAATATAATCACTAATAATTCAACCTCTGAACCGACTTTCCATTTTGGCCTTCTTATTTTTCAATCCCTCCCCTCCAACCACTTTTCACCATCCAATCAATTCCCGATAGATCAAATCAAGCCTCTCCCTGCATTTTGTCTCACTGAGCATCCTGTTTCACACACACACACACAAAAAAAATGTCACGGAAGTAAAATGGGTGGCGAAATGCATTTTGTGCTCTTTGGGGCAGCGAGTTTGTTACAAAACTCATCAGGGCAGCATCTGAAATTCCCTGCAAGATGTGACTAAGAAAATCAGCATCGCAGATCCTCATGTGTGAACTTATGTGTGAACACAGAGTCCAAAACACTCAAGCATGAACTGGCTCATTATTTTCAATGAGAAATCTGTTGCTATTATCAGCTATCACGCTGCATAATAAGTAATGATACAGAGAATAAAATGTTTGCTGTAGGCCGATAACATAAAAAAGGTTAGTGTAGCGTTTGACACAAAATGCACAAAGAAATGCACAAAACAACTTGCACTGCATTAAGATAAAGACAATTAATAAGATGCATGCAAAAAATTAACAGTGGCCCCAAAAAGTATTTGGACACTTAAGTCACATTTAATGTATGAAATCATAGACACAAAAATAAACAAAAATATATATATATATATATATATATATATATATATATATATATATATAAATAAATATAAACAAAAATGAAATCATATTATATTATATTATATACAGTTCAAAAGTTTAGGATCAGTGTCATTTTTTAATATGAGTTTTTATTTTTTAAATTATTTACGCATTAAATTGATCCAAAGTGACAGTTAAAACCTTTGTTACAAAATTCTATTTAAAATATGTGCTGTTCTTTTGAACTTTCTATTCATCAAATAATTCTGAAAATAAAATGTTAATAAAATGAAAATAAAAGTTTAATATTTTTGTGGAAACAAGATTTTCATCACAATTGAATATTAGCATATATAATAGCAAATCAGCATATTAGAATGATTTCTGAAGGATCATGTGACTCTGAAGACTGGAGTAATGATGCTGAAAATTCAGCTGCGCATCACAGCAATAAATTACATTTGAAAATATATTCAAATAGAAAGGTTATTTTAAATTGTAATCATATTTTACAATATTACTGATTTCACTGTAGAATTTTAAACAAATTAAAATAGAATAGACTCAAAAGCATTAAAAATCTTACAGACCCAAACACTTTGTGTAAATGTATATATTGTACACATGTATTATATAAAAATCAAAGTATAAAACACCAAATCAAACAACTTTTAATTTAAAGTTCACTTTTCAAGCAAAATAGTTCACATGATTTACAAGCTGTTGCCAGATGTTAGTGGATCATGTTCATAGTTAATGTGCTAAACGCACTGACTTCATTCAGCCATTAAAAAACACCAGAATAAAAGTCATTGAGCAAGAGAAAAGCTCTTGATTTGTGTGCAAACACAACTTTAATAGTTTGCATCCAATGCAATTCATTTATTTTTAAGTGCGACTTAAGTGTCCACATACTGAAGTCTTACACGTAACTTTTGACAACTGCACGTATGCTGTAAAAGGCATCAGAAAAGCCATATACTGACACTCGGAAGCAGGTAGTGAACTCTGGCTTACCTGGGCGCCTCAGCGATGCAGTCAGGCAGAACTGCAAACAGAAAAAGAGAGAGAAAGAGTAAACACACGTGTTTACATTTCCACCAGCGGGACCGGCCCCTCCAGCACCTGCCTGTGATCCTTCACACACCTCACGCTTTAATGTCACACTCAGACGGACACAATGACGAAGGCTCCTGCTGACTCGGTGAGAGAAGCTTATGTTGAGGATACAGCTCGTGTGGCATACAAAACATCATAAATAAACCTCCTTTTTGTGCTCTGAAAGTATAGCTATGGATAGTAGCAAAAAAAGATGCAAATCCAAACAAAACACAGAGATGCAAATAAGGCTTCAGGTTTTTAAACCGCATGAGAGGATCTGGCCTTGTCCAGTATCAGCTGACTCAATTTAGCTAAGATTTCAAGTAGTGCTGATGGGTAAACAACAGCCCAGCAAACTCAATAAATCACACAGATGAGAGGTGCATGCAGTCATATAGGTTTGGAACAACACAAAGGCAAGAAAATTATGGCAAAATCTTCCCTTTTGAGTGAATTGTCCCTTTAAGGTCAAGCATTTTGGGTAATGCCTCTTTTAGGAAGTAGTGCTGAAAGTCAAACAGTCAATAGGCAACTAGTTCAGTCTTCATTATAAGATTTTTAAAAAAGACTTAAAATGTGCCATCATTATCTAAAGGAGATATTTTATTATATGACTTTTGTTGGTGCAACACAAAGTACTCAGATCGATTCAGTCTTATAAAATGTATTTTATATAATTTTCAATATATAATTTGTATATTTGTGACTTGAATAAAACCATGTCATTTAAATGTTCCAACATGATGCACTTTTTTAGGTAAAATTTTTATGGACATGGTGAAAACATATGAGATGGATTGACTTTGCATTTGCTTGCAAAACTTTTGCGTTCTCTCGCAAATCATTTGCATTTTGCGTCCAAGAAACTTTGCGTTCTCTTGCACAACATTTGTGTTCTCTCATAAAACATTTCCATTTTCTCATGAAAATTTTTGTGTCCCCCCAAAAAACGTTGTATTCTGTCATAAAACATTTGCGATCTTTCGCGAAACATTTCTATTCTCTCAACTTCATATTCTTTTGTAAAACATTTGTCTTCGCTAATGAAACATTTGCATTTTCTCACAAAATGTTTGCATTCTCTCAAAAAAAAAACATTTTCACAAAACATGTCTTCAAGCCCAAATTTTGCGTTCCACAAAAACTTTGCATTGTCTCGCAAGACATTTGTATTCTCTCATGAAACATTTAAGTTTTCTCAAGAAAATGTTTTGTTCCCCCAAGAAAAGTTGCATTCTCTCGAAAAACATTTGCGATCTTTTGCAAAATATTTGTGCTCTCTCACAAAACGTTTGTTTTCTAGCCAATTTTTGCATTCCCCTTGAAACTTTTAATTCCCTCACAAAACATGTGCACTCTCTTCTAAAACATTTGTATTCTTTTGTAAAACATTTGCGATCTTTCTAAAACCATTTTTATTCTCTCTTAAAACATTTGCGATCTTTCCAAAACATTTGTATTCTCTCGCAAAACATTTGTATTCTCTCGTAAAACATTTGTATTCTCTCGTAAAACATTTGTATTCTCTCGTAAAACATTTGTATTCTCTCGTAAAACATTTGTATTCTCTCGCAAAACATTTACGATCTTTTGCAAAACATTTGCAATCTTTTCCAAAACATTTGTATTCTCTCGCAAAACATTTGTATTCTCTCGTAAAATATTTACGATCTTTTGCAAAACATTTGCAATCTTTTGCAAAACATTTGCAATCTTTCGCAAAACATTTGCAATCTTTCCCAAAACATTTGCAATCTTTCCCAAAACATTTGTATTCTCTCGCAAAACATTTGTATTCTCTCGTAAAACATTTGTATTCTCTCGCAAAACATTTGTATTCTCTCGTAAAACATTTACGATCTTTTGCAAAACATTTGCAATCTTTCCCAAAACATTTGTATTCTCTCGCAAAACATTTGTATTCTCTCATAAAACATTTGCGATCTTCGCAAAACATTTGTATTCTCTCATAAAAAATTGGCAATATTTCTCAAAACATTTGCGCTCTCTCACAAGACATTTTTCTTGCCAAATTGTGGATTCCTCAAGAAACTTTGCATTCTTTCGTAAAACATTTGTGATCTTTCGCAAAACATTTGCGCTCTCTAACAAAGCTTTTGCATTTTCTCACAAATTTTTTTGGCAATCTTTCACAAAACATTTCTATTTATGAAATATTTGCGTTTCTAGACAAATTTTTGTGTTCCCCCAAAAAATATGCATTCTCTTGCAAAACATTTCATGAAACATTTTCGTTTCCATAAGACACTTTGTGTTCTTTTACTAAGTGTTTGTGTTCTCTCACAAAAGAAAAATACTGAAAAAAAATTTGAGTTTCGTTACAAAATTTCTGCATTCTCCCAAAAAACTTTGCATTCTCTCACAGAGGATACAAAGGTTTCCTGAAAAGTTTTGCAAGCAAATGCAAAGTTTCTCAAGGGGAACACAACATATTTACAAGAGAATGCAAAAGTTTTGCAAGCGAACACAAAAGCATTGAAATACAATCTTTCCTCCCATCACCATGTTCCTTCAGTGGCTCTGTACATTTTCATGGTAAATGAACACTCTCTGACACGAATGAATTGTTTTATATTTCATAGAGCATGTTTAGGATGTGCAATACTTCCTCTTGGGGCAAAATTAGCAACCAATTACACAGTGTAAGACAATACACGTATCTGGATTTGCATAGGGAAAAAGCTGGTTCACTTTACTAAACAGTGTTTAACAATCACAGCTCTGACAACATGATATACTCAAAGCCTCGCTGTGAACCTAGTCTCACGAGATGTACAGACAGACAGAGAGAGAAGGAATGTGTGTCAGTGGGAGAGAATGTCTCGTTCACAGCTTCACCTCAATCCCATGATGAAGACTCAATAAAACACCATCATGAATTTTTACCGGCACATTAAAGGGCCAGGCGCTCATGAGAGGTACAGTACGCAGCTCTAAACACTTGAATAATGATGTCCCCTGTCATGCTTTAGTCGCTCTTTCCATTCACGACGCCCTCCTTAACTCGTTTGAAAGAATATTGCCACATAATGAAGTCACTGTCTCTGCATAATGCATCGCTGCGGCAACCGCACCTCTCTCCAGCTAAAGAGGATTAATATTAAAATTGACAGATCTGATGTGAGACCGTTAAACTAACACTTCAGATCAAATGTGCATAGGAAAAGGGTGCGTGCGCACACGTGAGGAAACCAGCCTGTCAGAAGGCCGTCGCTGAGGCATTATGGGAAATGTGTTCACCTTGTTTATGTGAACTTTGTACGGGGCAAATATAATGCATCCCTGCATGTTTATACAAACCAATAATGCACTCCAAAGAGTCGTATGAGATTATGTTTTATAACAAGAGCTTAAAATAAATATTATGTTGCAGAGTTATACAATTTTACAATGATATGAAAGACTTATTACGTCATTAAACTTCATGTAATGCTAAACAGATCAGTAGTTAATGTTGATTAAAAAAATAAGAATATAAAAATATGTAAATAAAAGTGGACATTTCTAACTATTTGAATAAAGACTATTTAGTATGCATAAGTATATACAGTATACACATGTACAATGTACACATGTATATTCAATACAGATTTTTTGATAATTATACTGTATACTATGATAATAAGTATGAATTTACTTATTGGAACTTTAAATTCATTAAATTAAGTAATAATAAATAATAATTTTTTACTTCACAAGATTTTAGTTATAAAACTACATATAACTACATTTTAGATATAAAACTAGATATTATATTATAATAAAATAAATATATAATATATTTTCTAATTATATTATAATAAATAAATATGTTGCAGAGGTAATGAGTAATACATCTTTAAGATGATATAAAATGCTTATTACATTAAAATGTATGTGATGCTAACACTATAGATTACATTCTGTAAAAACTAATGTACCTGATTAGTTCATTACACTCGCTCGCTCGTGTACACATAGACGCGCGCTAACGCACGCCACGCCAGAAGTGGCCCATCGCTTCCGGATGGGCTTTTCTGAACGCCTCTTGAAAGCCCAAACTATTAAAAACTGCCAGAGCCGGGTTTTGTTTGGTGATTTTGCTATTTTTTCGGTGGGAGAGTAAAAAGAAATCTTTTATTAGCCCCACAAGCGCTGGGGTTTATTGTAACAAAGGGGACGCAGATTTCCAGGCTTACGTAATTTGATATTTCTGATATTCTGAGCGGAAACTTTGTCATGAGGAGGAGAGAGAGCGATCAGGCAACAGCTGGCTGCTAACAATCCCTTAAATTACACCGTCACCACCTTGCAAAACCGAACCATATGTCAACAAGTGCCGAGAACCTCAGGTAACAAGTCGGTTTTGAACTGAAACAACTTTGTAAATGATGGCCCAAGTGGTTCCCAAGCCAAATCACAAACTAGTTTTAATATAGTAGAATTATTATTGCACAAGCTAAACATTGTCAGAAATCTAAAATAATCACGTTTATGCATATTAAATAATATATTTGATTTGAATAAAACCAGTTCATTTCAATCAGAGCACATTTAGGTTTCCGAACAAAACATTTTTGCTGTGTTGTACATCTACAATAATTTTTAAATGATTGTGCATCATATAAATATGAAACATACACACATACAAATAATTTATACTAAAACTTTAGCAAACAAAAAGTGTGTTGATAGTTATGCATTTAAAATGGAAATCAAATTAAGTGCATTCTCATTGTTACTGTCTAAAGCTCACATAGAAAATGCTATAAAAGTGACCAAATAAAATGAAACGCAAAATAAAATTAGATAACATTATATACAATTCTAAGTAGTAAATATGAAATAGTAAATAAACTCAAATAAAATAAAGTATTCAGAACTGGACAATTTTACTGAACTTGTTTGTGCATTCAAAAACTGCCCGTTTTAAAACAACAGATGTTGCATTCAACATGTTTAACTGTTTGGTGCAATATTTTTATACTTTCATAAATGATTAAGCAGCATGTAAATACACACAAACATGAAAAATAGAGGTGAGTCCACAAAATGATATGTAACATACAAACAAGAACGTATAAACTACACCTGCACATGTGAGATACTCTGACTGCTCTGTAGAAACAATGACTAATTTTACCTTAGTTTG